TTATATATATATATATATATATATATATATATATATATATATATATATATATGTATGTATGTGTATGTATGTATGTGTGTGTGTGTGTGTGTGTGTGTAAATGTATATGTATATGTGTGCGTGTGCGCGCACGTGTGTATATAAATTTACAGATAGAATATATCTGCAATTAGATGAATAGGAAAACTTATCTTAGCCGACGCGTTTCTCTGAGCGACTTTATCACTTGTCTTGATAGGCCCTCAGAAAACGGAATGCGTTGTCTAGGATATGTTTTCCTTTTGTCTATTCATATATATATATATATATATATAATGTTATTAAAGTTGACTGACTGCGATTAAGCATTTTATTCAATTTTTCTTATGTTCATATAAGTGTTTTGTTTTCTAGGCAGTTCTATAAATATCCAAGCGCTGCTATGGATGTTTGTTTTTTTAACTGAATATTTTTTGAAGCATATATCTATCTATAGTAATGCAATTTTTTTAAAAAACATTGTCAGCACGTTGTGGCCATGTTCATAGTTGATATTATTAAGTGTTGACTATGAACATGGTTACAACGTGCTGACCGTGTCTGGAAATAAAAAATAAAAAAAATTCACATCCCTATAAATGTATAAAAATCTGCATATTCAATTAAAAATATTGGAAAAAAAAACATTGTTGAGAATCGCTAATAGAATTTGTCAGTTGTTTTAATGAAACTGTATACAAGAGGGATTGCTTCCTTAAAACGCAATATATATATATATATATATATATAGAGAGAGAGAGAGCATGAATCCATCCAGCTCTTATCTCAAATAATAACTTAAAAGAGACTGTTTGACCAACACAAAGACTGACCAAAATTTGCGTTAAAAAATAAAAAAAACAAATGAAAACTACAGACAAAAGTTCATTTTCCCCATCAAGACATTCATTTCTGTAGTTCACTGCTACTAGCAAGCAGAAAATTATTTTTTTCCTGATGATGGTCATATTGGCCGAAACTAGTCGAGGAATCTAAATGAAATAATAATAAAAATGAAGGAATATTAATATACAACCCAGTGTGTCTCAAGAGTTTAATTTTTAATATTTTTTATTGTTCAATATATATATATATATATATATATATATATATATATATATATATATATATTGCGGTTTGTATATTATATATAATATTTAATACGTAATATGTTATGATTATGAAATCTGTAAATAAGTTTCATAGATTTATCAAATATCTGGCCTTGATTAGCGTTTCGACGCGAATGTCATATATCTGTCTATATTTCTGAGATGAGGTATTATGTACAGTATTTACATTGTTCGGACTATCGTCCTCATCTTTGTTGCTATATTGTTGTCATATGTTGTCCTCAAGGACACATAGCACAGTGGATAAAGGCGTTAGTCAGATCCAGTGACAGGATCCAAAGAGTGTGAGTTCAATACCTAGTTAAGGCGGTGGAGAACTTGTAGAGGGGAATTCACAGGAGATAACTGATAACTGATATCCATTACACAAAGCACGTGAAACTAGAACAGTGTAACTCAGCGAGCGAAATAAAGGGTTCAATTCGACATTCCAACCAACTGAAGAAGGCCGGGGCATACAACGGCCGAAACGTTGTGATAAATATGGCAGTTCGAATAATGTAAATAGAGAATCACATGTTGTTGTCAAATCAGATAAATCGTTTGAAATTTCCTTCATTAATTGAATATTATGCCTCTAGTTATATCTTGAGTGATTTTTGGCAGAATTTTTTCTGGCCTGAAAGAAACACGTTAAATATTCGTAATTTTCGCAAAATTTTTCAGTTTTAATTTCATTATTGTTATTAATCACTAATATATATATTACTAATTATTACTGTATATATTCAGAATATCCTATATATATATATATATATATATATATATATATATATATGCACAGAGAATATATGTGCGTGTTCGTCTGTATGCCTGTAAATAGGGTCATTAATTATTAACAGTTGTGTATAAAAACGTATATAGTTATTTATATCATATATATATATATATATATATATATATATATATAATTATGTAATATACATGTATAATATAGTATATATATATATATATATATATATATATTATGTGAATTATTGTTGAATATATATATACATTTATTTTAAGACATTTTATGTTTATACATTCTTTTTTTTTTATAAATACAAACATTTAAGTAAATGCTCTGTTTATAATAAACAGTATTAAACAACATTTACCGGCCTGAATGTCCGAGAAATTTTCATAGAAAATATTCGTCCTCCGACAGGATTCGAACCTGTATCCTATACGGAACCGTCATTTAGCTTGACGTGCCTTAACCGATTTGGCTACAAAGGGCCGTTCGGTTAGCGAGGTCGAATTTACTGTCTTTAAACATCAATCTTCCATGAATCTCTCACGTACATTCATGTCTGCTCATGGCGTATCAAATGTAAACAAATGACGTCACACATTATGAAATGGACAAAGTCCGACAATTATTTTAAGACATTTTTATGTTTATACATTCTTTTTATAGATACAAATATTTAAGTAAATGCTATGTTTATAATAAACAGTATTAAACAACATTTACCGGACTGAATGAAGGCACGTCAAGCTAAATGATGGTTCCGTATAGGATACAGGTTCGAATCCTATCGGATATGACAATATAACTATAAAATTCAAACAAATTCAGAAACGAGAGTCACCTTCAGTGACAGGATAAACTTTTGTACAGCAAATGAAGTCATATACAGAGTGATACAGGTTAATTAAAATAGAAAAAATTACAGAGACGAAAATGTATTGAAAGTGCTTTAATCGCTAGATTATCCATAGTAAATACGCGTTCAGGATCTTACAACCTTTCCTCTTTCCTGGCGGATCTTCTGTTATCAGAATGTAGGATAGTTGATAACAAAAGAGTGAGTGGAAAAAGTGGAAAAAACCCCGAAGAAAAAGCCAAATCATGATGACACCCTACACGCACACACATCCGCGCAGACTGGCGCACGTGCACTAATTTACATCCGCATAGACCGGCACATGGTCTCACGCGCGCACACACACGAGCACAAACAATACGAAAAAAACAAAACAAAAAAAAAAAAAACTTCAATTAATGAAAAGTACCCGAAAAAGAAAAATCGAGAAATATAAACAGTAAATTACTGATACCCTCTGAAAAGTGGACGGACGGATCCGTCTACGAAACTCTGGAATCGGGTTGACAAACTTTTAAGCTAAGTGACAAACTTCTACTTCTCTCTCTCTCTCTCTCTCTCTCTCTCTCTCTCTATATATATATATATATATATATATATATATATATATATATATATATTGTTGATGTATAATCCAAGTGGGTCCTAGTAATATAACATATTAAAACTGATCCACAAATAGACTTTGTCACTTTTTGAGCATTCTGGATTTTCTCAGGCTAGAAGTGATTTATATATATATATATATATATATATATATATATATATATATATATATAGACTGGGTTCTATAGCCTCGGGTGGCAACTGGTCTAGGAGAAGGACAACTCTGAATTCAAAACCTGCGGAGGGTCGTTTGGGAACCTTGTGGCATTCGGTGCACCAGGTCTCTGTATTCAGCCCTTCAAAAAGTGTGGCTGGTCCTGCACGAAACCTTCACCACTATAATCAAATCTCATGTGCCGGTGTCGGGCTGTCGGTTTCCTGGAAACTGATCTGCTTGACCCTCATACGTCGAATTCGACGGGAGAGTCGACTATATATATATATATATATATATATATATATATATATACAAAAATGCATACATGGTATTCTTTCTGGTATGCGCACTGGTTTCGCAAGCTATTATCCTAAATTAAGGAATTTTTTAACGAACGCATACGCAAACAACCTTTATTTACAGAAATGCATGCACATCAATAAATAACTATAGACTTGAACAGGTTAAGATCCTGTAAGGGGGTCTGTTCCATAGGGCAGTTGTTCTCGGCAAGAAGCTGTTTTGAGTGGAACTTACTTTTCGCTGATGGAATACGGAGAGAATATGGATGGGTTTGCTTCTATATAAGTGGCATGGCCGGTCCTACCCATGAAGGTTAGACATGGTAGGACCAAGGACTGAAGTTCTTTCGAGCACTTTCCATGGAATTAGCGATAGAGCACAGAGAGATTCGTTATAGTGAGGGAGAGGTAGGAGAGTGGGAAATAATTCTTCTCCAACAAGGACTCGGAGACGATTCTGAACTCAAGACTGAGGAGTCAGGAATGGGCAGCTTCTGCCCCAAATATGACAACAATATTCAGCCTGATCTGTTTGGAGGAGATAGCATGAGGGGTCAGTTTAATTACTGGCGTGGTACAAGGGGCCGATGTATCTGATATAAGAGTTCCACTAGAGGTCAGAGTTTGGGGCCCAATATCCTTTCAAGGCGCGTTGACTCCTCGAGGGGAAATCCGTTTATCGTGTTTCGTGGTAGTTCGTCGTCTGTTTGTAGTACTTAAACATTATTACCTAAATTCTTACAATCTATAAAAATATTTTTCTGCTTACAAATAATCTGCACCCCCACAAAAAACCCCAAATGAATGAAAAAAGATATTGGGTTACAAAGAGGCAGAGTAAGTTTAGGGGATATGGGGATAAGGTACCAGTTAACGATAGACATAAACGAGTTAACATTGTAGAGATCGGAGAAGAATCCTCATGGGAGTCGGTTCTACAAGGCAGCGATCCATAGAAAGAAGCTGCTCGAGAGGAACTTACGTCTCACCAATGAAATACATTGTTACAATGGGCGTGGCATAGATAGTTTTTTCCTCACTGAAAAGTTAGTGTTAAATTGGAAAGGAGGTCAGCTGCCAATCTCTAATCGTCAAAACTTTTACAGGCGCGCCTGTATATCGTCGTATCATCGGCATAGACATTTGCAAATGATCGGAGTATATTATTAGGTAGATCATTTATGTAAATCAGAAAGAGGGTTGATACGAGAAGTGACCCCTGGAGGGCATCTACGTTGACCCTAGCGGTCAACGTAGATGTCCTTCGGAAGACTTGCCGTTAATATCTTTCATCTACCTGTTAGGAAAACCTTCCAGTGATTCCATAGCTGGAGAGCTTGTATAGCAAAACCTTGTGCCACACCTTGTCGAAGGCCTTTGAGAAATCTAATGCTATGGTCCTTGTGGTGTGTGTGGCGTCAAGGGCCCCATTAATTCTGTGTATAATGTTAGGACGTTATTAGTGGATCAGGTTGATCGAAACCCACACTGCTCGTCCCACAAGAGGTTGTTCCTATTAGGTACCCGACGACCTTCTTGCCTCAAGAAGCTTACTGATAACACTGAGGAGACTAATGGGTCTATACTTGGAGGGAGAGGATGGATTACCGGCTTTTTTGAAGATCGGGCAGAAGCTTGCCACCTTCAACCTGTTTGAGAAAGATTTCTCCTTCAAACAGTGGTTAAATATTTCTTTCTTCAAGCAGTGGTTAAATAACTATGGTTAAATAACTATATATATATATATATATACACCCTTGTGAAAATTAATTGAAACAGCCGCTTTAGTTTTCTTTCTTTCACCTTACGATCAGTTTTAGACCCACTGGAGTGACAGGGTGTAAACGATTTCTGTTTTTTTCCTCAGATTAGGTCATTTGCAGTGGTGAGCAGTAATACGAATCTATTTTCAGGGTGTATGATGAGATTTGTTTGGCTTTCAAAAATATTGCGTCATCCTTGATTGCATCAGATGTTTATCACACGCAGACACTATTGTCTCGACTGTCGATTAGTTGTCATATGGTCATTGTCTGAGATGACTGTTACTCCAAGGAAGCGTACGAAAATTTTAACGCTGCACGAACACACTGGCAAGCCTTACCAGTAAGCAAATCAAAGTAATATAGGCTGGGTAGGAAACCCTCCTTATTTAAATCCAAACGAGAATCTGTGATCACATCTGAAAGATTTCGTGGAAGAGACATATGAAGTACTAACATGTAAACTGGGTTATGGTTTATTGGAAAAATACGTAGAAAAAGTAAATAATAACGGAATTATTCGTTTTGTTTTAATTAATTTGCCCAAGAGTATATAATTAAGAATTATCCGATTCTCCTTATATATATATATATATATATATATATATATATATATATATATATATATCGCCTATCGCCTGGTTCACACTCCTCCCTGGTCTACATGAGTAGAGGTTTATCCCTTGTTTCCTGTTTAGGATTAGATTTCCGGTTCCTTCTAAATTCTATTCCAGTTCTATATTCTAACGTCTACGACTGAATTCTGAAATGTTATTCATTAATTAAGTCTTGACCTCTTCAAGTCTAGTAGTAGCTGTTATTTTTCCTGCATAGCGTCCAAAACTTCATTTTCTTGACCTTTCTTACGCTGATACAACTCCACACTGTACCCTCTACCTTGAGTGACTCTTAGGCCTTGTATTGAGTGAACATTATTAAAAAAAATAAATGCGTAACAATAAAGTTGCATATTCGCATATTTCGTTGTCATAAAAAAGTTTAACAAAAGATCAGAATTACTTTTCACACACACACAAGTACCCAGACACACTGATGTGGCGGAAATTATGCATCTATAGGCCTGAGGTCTCGTGCCGCATGAAGCCTACACAGAACGCCTCCACTCTGATTTGGCCGCTGGTGTGGCTCGGGCGTCACTACAGCTTGTTGCTTTCGTCCCCTTCGTAGTTCTTCGCTATGACGTTCTTCGCCTTTCTCTTTTCTTTTTACCCAGGGGTCCCAGGTCAGCGCCATGTTGCAGTCGTTGTTTGGGTTTTGCTTTAAAATGAGGCTGATGAACCTCTATCTTCTAAGATGTGCCGCGAATTTACGGGTGATGAAATAGGTAGCAAATCAGAGAAAATCTGATAAAATCATTTTCAGCAAAACATTGTTAATGCAATATTCACTCACAAAAAAAAAAAAAAAAAAATCAAAAGAATCTTATAATCCAAAGTATGCTTCGGCTTTAAATAAACCACAAAATGGTTGGTACGCTGTCAAAAACCAAATCAATCTACGCCATATCGACAAGGGTCATTATCGATAAGAGTTTGACAGAGGTACACTGTAGCAGTTGTGCCGTCTTCCCAGGGTCTTGTCATCTAATGTCGAAGTACTTTCTTAAGCTGGTGTTATGAAATAGGTCAATAAGCTTCTCATCTTCTTGATTTATATTACGAATACCAGTCATGTAAATGTAACAGTAAGTTGTGCCACTGTGACTTGACATAGAAATATCAAAACCTGTGTCATTTATGTTCTGACATCTTGCGTCAGTTATCGTTTAGCCTGCTTGACCTGGCGTTAATTATCGGAGTGTGATACAATGGGATCCAGCCGTCATTAGAACTCGCATGAAGTCAAGTGCGTCCTAAATTATTTTATCTAAGACTGAAGTATCTAATTTTCCCGATGCTGTCTGTTAGTACATCGTGATGTAGTGATGGACAGATATGTGGTAGGAGATGTGGAGTTCGAGTTGGTCTCACGGAAGATCTCGTCCGTTCGTCTGTCGTGACAGAAATAGTAGAAAATATCACAAGTGTTCCATTACCATTCCCTATTAATGGTGATCAGTGGCGTCAGTTTAGAATTGTCTTTAGTAAAGGATAAGCGAAACCAATCTGCCAATCAAAGGCCTTGCTGCCGGAATGTAGTTTATCGTTATACCCAGGACGAGAGCAATACAGATGCAGAAGAATATGCACTTATGTTTTATACTTTATGCAAATCCATTTGAAAAGTTACGTTCCAAGGATCTATTTGAAGTGCTATTTGGAAAAGATGTTAGAACAAATCAGAAGTTATATTGGGAGTAAACTGCCTATAGAAAATGAATTTAGTAGATACACAAAAATAGAAGAGGTGTGAGACAAGGATGTGTCTTCTCACCAGATATATTTAATATCTACAGCGAGGCTATCTTAAGGGAACTGGAGATCCTATCGGGATTTATTATCGGTGGGCGTAACCGTAACAATATAAGGTGTATGGAGATGACATTATGTTGATAGCTGACACGGATAGCTGACAGGAATTAAAACAAAACGGAAAAAAATGTCGAACCAACAACTGCAAGAAGACAGAAAATATGGTCATCAGCAAGAGAAAAATCCCCCAAAAAGAAGATGGAAACACGACACGGAAATCCAAAGATGTTTTCCATAACAAAAGGCAAAAACTGTTGAGAAACAATAAATTCGTTAAAAACAAAGAAAACAGTTCTAGATTGTTATGCGATATCCGTCTTCTTATATTGTAGTGAATGTTGGACAATCTCTCCACGGGCAAGGAAAAAAAAAACATAGAAACAGCAAAAATGTGGTCCTACAGAAGGATATTGAAAATTCCATGGATGGAGCGAGTAAGCAAGAAGGATGTCTTAAAGAAAATGACAACGGAAAGAATGGCTATGCTCAAAATCATGAAAAGACATTTAAATTCTTTGGACACCTAATAAAGAAGTTAGGGTCACTTAGACGTAGTATAATGGTTAGAAATCTTGTCTCGCTGATCAATTACGACTGAGAAGTGAGTTTAATCTTCACTGGGTGCTCCACACATTCGGCCTTGTGCCACATCTAAGCTACGCTTAGAAAATCCTTTATGGGCACTTCGACGTGATGTAATGGTTAGAAATCTTGTCTTACCAGAACAATTACGACTGAATAGTGAGTTCGATTCACACCGGGTGCGCTACACATTCGGCCTTCTTTCACATCTCGGCTACGTTTAGAAAAACATTTGAGACATTTCGAAGTAGTGTCATGGTTAGCAAACCTATTTCGTTAGATCAATTACGACTGAATAGTGTGTTCGATCCTCATTGGGTGTTCCATACTAAGCTGCGAATGATAAGGAAGGCGAGCTTGAAAAACATAATCCTTACAGGGTACGAAAATTGTAACGTTGCACAAACACACTGGCAAAACTTACCAGTGAGCATATCAAAAACAATATCGATTGGCTCGGAAACTCTCCTGATTTAATTCCAATCAAGAATCTGTGGTCAATCTGCAAGGAACGACTTCGTGGAATGGACATACGAAGTCCTAACACGTGTACTGGGTCATGTTTCATTGGAAAAATACAAAAAAGAAAAAGAAAAAAAGAAGTAAATAATAATGGACTTATTCATTTTGTTTCAATTGATTTGTACAAGGGTGTATTTGCCACAGCTCATAGTAAACTTTTTTTTTTTTGCACGGCTAAGATATTGCAAAATGCAGAGTCAAGCAGTAAAAAAAATAAACTATCAAAATAAGAATGTTTTCCATACAAATGCCGTCTTTGATAAAATTTCAAAAATTTAAGTTAACCTTGATGACATTTTTTTAATATTTTTAAACCGTAGATAAACGTTTAAGTCGATATCACTGTTTTATTTTTGGTTGTTTGTGATGTGGCTATGGAGATTTTCCAAGCGTTGTTTAGATGTGGCACAAGGCCGAAAGTATGGTGCATCCAGTGAGGATCGAACTAACTACTCAAGCTTGCTAACCACTACACCACGCCGAAGTGCCAAAATGATTTTCTAAGAGCAACTTAGATATGGCACAAGGACGAATCTGTGGAGATCTCAGTGAGGATCGAATTTACGACTCAGTCGAAGCTGATCTAGCCAGTCAAGCTCATTAGCCATCACACAAGGTCGAATTACCCCTTGTGATATGGTTACGTATATAATGTAAGAATTACATTGTTTCGATAAATTTGAATGTAAATGTTAAATCTAGAGTGTTTATTAAAATCACTGTTATATATCGGCGATCTATATAAGACCCGGCGTGTTCTACCGTTTGGTTACGAAGAACGTCACAATTGATCCTTGTTTATAGTGACATATATATGAGTGGGTATCAATGTTTCCAGAGTCCGAGGAAGATTTGTGTTGATAAGACACTATTTAACTTTGCTTGATAATCGAAGTATTCCGTAAAGCCCGTCGGATCTATAGACTGTTTTTTTTTTCTGCCAAAGGGAACGCAGGTTCGAATCCTGTCGGAGAGCGTACATTTTTCTTTAATAAGAATATTCAGACCGATAGACGAAAATAAATAAATGCACTGTTTAATAAATAAACGGGGTGTCTACTCAAATATGAGTATCCACTAAAAATAACGTTTAAGTAATAAAATCCATCAGATTAATAAATAAAAATCCATCACTTCTTTAGAAATTGCTTTGTTTACGTTAGGTTACAAAATTTTGCAGATATGAATGTTTCGAGAGTCTGCGAAAGATTTGCGTTTAAAAGGCACCATTTAAAAACGTTTTAAGTGATGGACGACATGGTTGGGGAAATTATTGTTGATAAATGTTTGCATTATGTAGTTCAATTACAAAATAGAAAATTTAGTACAGATTTCAGTTCGGATGTGCAGCAATTTATTCGAAAATTTAAAAAATACAATGAAAACTGGACTGAGGCATTTAAACTTATATACATGATACGAAAATGTTGAAACCAAGGAGGCATGATCGGCCTATCTAACTTTTTTAAATTTAAAATCTCTGCATGTTAAATTTTTATTTTTATTTTATTTTCTTTATATGCGTATTGATCAATTTTTATTACTACTGTTTCCTGTTCTAATTCAAACTTGACCAATAACATTATATATATATATATATATATATATATATATATATATATATATATATATATTTTGAAGCAAGTATTCACTCAAACGAGTTTGAGTCAATTTAACCGACAAGGTTTTTGAATAAAATATTTTATATTGAGAATTTAAATTTGTTCTGTTGTTTTTTTTTTTTTTTTTCAAGACGTTTGAATGTAAATAATCATAATCTCAGAGATATAGAGGCCGAAACGTTGTGAATATGGCAATGAATATGAGGATACAATCGAAATAATGTAAATAATGTAAATAATCATAATACCTCATCTCAGAGATACAAACAGACACTTTTAACTTGTTTGATTATTCCCACTGACCAGTGAAATTGCACAAATCTTTTTAATGGTTTCAATTTTTACCTTTATTAAAATAAAATAAAATAACAAACAAATAAATATAATATGCAAAAATGGTGCCTCTTTTCTTGTAAGTTAAATGATGCAATTAATCAACAAATATTTTAAAAAAACTATATGCTTTTATGATAAAAGTAACAATAACACTACAAACGATCGTATTGAATGCTGTTAAACTAAACACTTCTAATGCCATCAAGCAACAAATAGATATTTATCAAATATGGCTTAGTTTCATAAAACATTGAAGCACTAATCAAACTCAAAGTAATTGATTTGCATGTATCTTTCGTTAATGTGCTACTAAAATATATATACAAATATGCAAATCTATATATTGCAGGCAGTGTTTGCAGAGTTGTCTTTGAGTGCAAATGTTAAAATTATGAATTACTGAAGAGAACTTTTTGTAAGGCCTTGACAGAAATGTGTGTATGAAAAGAGTGCGAGTGTACTTAACATGAATGTTTTCATTATTTTTTAATTTATTTTATTAATCTGTGCATGTGTGTGTGTGGGCGGGTACAACATTTTATTATGGCTTTTGAAACGGACATTTTTAAAGTATATATTCACATAACATATACAAACAGTTCACGGGCTTAGATTTTCGGGTCCCAGAAACTTGAACAGATATGGAGGCCCCTTTGCAACTGGCAACAATAAATTTGTGGATCGAACTGCAAAAATGTAGGCTATAAATAAATTCTGTCGAGCATAACCAGCCCGCCTATTCAGCTGGGAGTTCAGGCGCTGCAAGCCCCTAAGAAAATTGAAATTTAAACAAATTACAGAGGTATTTTGCGACCTTATGGAATGGGTATTAGAACATATTCTAAAGCCAACATTAGCTACTTCATCCCATTGGCTAATGATTCTATCACTAAAATGGCTTCATTTTAATGACAAACACTTTTAAAAGAAACTATCGATTTTCTTGAAAAACTCATTCATTTAAAAAAATATACTTCATGAGCCTATCTGGGATTATGGGCATTTAAACTTAAGCTTTAGTTTTATAGTAGATCCGCCATTGTATACATTTTTTTACGGCTTATCAACCCTTTTCAGGTTATTTATAAACTGAAAATATTTTTAGATTGTAACAAAATTGATTAAGATAATAATTGTTTAGTAGCATAAATCTTACTAATTAATCAATAGCTGGCGGGGGTGGGGAGAAGAGGAGGAGGGTTCATAAATTCCCAAATGTATTTTGCGCGAAAGTAAATATAACGAATCCAACTGAAATTGGAACTCGGTTCTCCGATTAGCATTTACGAGCCATTACCCATTACACCACGCGCACATCCAAGCTGACAGCATTTGATATTCCAAAACAGTCACCCATCTGAGTACTGACCAGTCTCGATGTTGTTTAACTTCGGTGATCAAACGGGAACTGGTGTTTCAGCGTATTGTGGCCGTAAGCCTGCATACAAATATATTAAAGCAAAGGATTTATTGATTAATTTGTTGTTTTACGGTTTATCGACCCTTTGTATGTTATTTAAAGCCAAATCATATATGATCTCTGGTTGTTGGATCTGGTTAGTTAATTTATTTCCCCTCTTATCCGAAAAAAATCCCAAACACAATTTCCCTTTTTTTTTCTAATTTGAAAACGCCGGTGCCGAATTTAACATCCGTGTTCGGCGAACCGCGTCGTTTTAAAAGCTTTCCTACTGTTTCATTATCACCACTTTTTGTTTCGAATACAATTATACATCCTATAATATATATATATATATATATATATATATATATATATATATATATATATTTATATGTGTAATTATATTTGCTCTACTCTGTATTGAGCACTCTTTTTAAGAATAGTATTTTTTGGTTATTGGAATCTATTCCGTATACACCAATCCTATACTTGGATATATATATATATATATATATATATATATATATATATATATATATATATATATATATTCAGTAGTAGCGATTATTTCAAGGATCCTATATAGGATCCGTTACCGAAAAAACATATCGCCGTGAGATATAAAATAAAACATCTGGCACCCACCATAAATCTCAGCTTATTCATTAGCGGAAATGGTGTGTTGAGAGTTTTCGTAAAATAGAAAGATGCCAACTCGATTTCCAGCCACGATCAACTCGCGAGGATCAGAATAAACGCTACTACTATTTAAACAGCACAAAAACTAAATTTTAAACAATCAAACATCAAAAGAAATAAATAACACCTATAAACAAAACCCCTTGAAAATAGCTAAAGAAGTGGCCGAATGCGCCTTTGGACAGTGGACAATACGGATAATTTTTACACTCCCCTATGTCCACCAAACGAAAAAATGTAAGAATATTGGAAAACTAAATTCATCAAATTTTCCTTGTCTCTCATATTCAACAATTAGTGTTTAAAATAAAGGTTGCTGATTAAATATACACTATATATATATATATATATATATATATATATATATATATATATATAGGCAATTTTTCAATTAAAGTATGTTTCATTAAATAATATAGATAAGTTTTGTCTATTTATTTTTAGTAAGTTCCATTCATATTGTCTGATAAGTTTAATAACATTATCACTGAAAGATCGTGCAGAGACTAATTCGATTACAAAACAGATTTTTTACAGTGAACTAAAGAATATAAAACAAACAATTAATAATAGCTTTCCAAACTATATAGTTGATGAACAAATAAAATGCTTTCTTAGAAGTCTTAATACTAAGCAAATAGAACATAATACTGCTTCAACTAATCCGAAACATATTAATCTCTTATATCATAGTCAAATGCATACTAACTATAAAAAAGATGAAAATATCCTAAAAAAATTTAGTAAATCCTAATATATCTACAACAGATCCTAGCAAAAAAATTAGGTTAATCATATACTACACTAAATCTAGTATATCCAACTTAATTATTCGCAATGATTCTTCGCCACACCCTCCCCGTTAGCAATTTGCAAAAAAACAACATAGTTTACAAATTCAAGTGCCCTTTGTGAGATTGTATCTCCAATGGATTAAATAATATTTATGTTGGTCACACCACAAACTCTAACATTTTTCGGCACTTAAAACAACATGCCTGGCCGCGTACACAATTCCGGAAAATCCTTGTTGAAAACACAACTATAGTTAAACATGAAAACAATAAACAAAAACTAAAAAGTCTTGAAGATATATACATAGAAAAGTAGAAACCTAACCTAAACAAAATAAACTACAAATTTCCACAAAAATTCTTAAATGCTTATAATTGATAACAGAAGCGATTGGTTTATACCAACGGCTTCCCATACTTAAAACTTCTCCTTTTCGCTCTGGCGTTGTCATGTGTGACGTCACGAGCTGCGACGCGATTTTCGCTTCCGCGTCTTGTATACACGAGTTAGTCGTTGCTTTGAAATTTTTCATGCAACAAAAAGAAACTATCATTATTGTTTGTCCGTGTATTGGCTGATATATTGAAAAGTAATTGTCATCTTTTATAATGGCTTATGTAAGCCGAAAGCTTAGACTGGATTTAAACATGTATCAATATGGTGATTTCCTTTCGTCTTTCAATGATAATGTTATTAAGCTTATCAGACAATATGAAAGGAACTAACTTAAAATAAATAGACAATAATTGTCTATATTATTTAATGAAACATGCATCAATATATATATATATATATATATATATATAATGCATGTTTCATATATATGTTTCATATATATATATATATATATATATATATATATATATATATATATATATATATATATATATATATATATATATATATATATATATATTTGAATAAAAGACAGACCACGTTAAGATTCCATGTAATAAGCTATTTCACCATAACCCCTTTAACAGGGTTCTGGGTCATCAGACTTTACTTCCAAAAGCTGAAATGAAAAATGAAACGAAATTCACACGTTTTTTACGGACCTCATCAAGTATACGCAAAGTTAACGAAGTGAGGAAGTGAGGTGGGAGAGAGGATATGAGTGTGTCATATGTATCATTTTAGTTTCCTATTTTAACCCCATTGTGTCGGCTGGATGTTGCTCAAATTTAACGCGTCTCGTCTCTAGATAAAGGTGGCTAAGGGGTGAACGATAAGAACTACATTAAAGGAAGACGTTACAACAACCCCAATAAATTACACGACAGGTTTCATTCAAATTCTTAGACGCTGTCAGTTCGCGTTACTTTAACGTGAATATTTGGGAGGTTAAGGTTTGATAAATATCTAAATTTTAAAACAATCTACGAAGGAATTAATTTGAAATTCGGTGGAGTTTTGGGTATTTCCTATGAAACAGTCGATTGGAAAAATCCATAGACAGAACATTGAAAGAGCAATCCAATTTATATTTAGTAATTTTTTTTTTTTTCCACTAAAACTTTTATCTTATAGCTTGTTAGGTTGACATTTATTCGTTTGATTTTTTGTTTCATTAAGTAAACTCATGATTGTTTTTTGATTTTTGTTCATTAAGTAAACTCGTGGTTGTTTTTTTTGTACCCAATTATCAACAGTTATTCCCATTTAAATAATTTTATTCTCCACACTGGTGTAGTATCTTTCAATCTCAATTAGAATACCAATCTAAACTTTCCCTTCGTGCTATTTAAAATTCACTTCCAATTGGAGAATATTAGAGGAGAAATTTGGAAGAGATGTCACTAGCAGAAAATTAGGCCCTTCTTTTACAATTTCTTATCTACACATGTCTTAAAACCCTATTTGTAACCACATACCTATATCTTCTTATATGCCTATGAGTTCCTATATACACCTACACACACATTCACACACGAAACGATATATGTATATTTCCATCTTTACACATATACACCTGCAGAGAAAACGCACATCCACATGTCTCCATACCTATCTCCATATATACTTATACTTACATATATACATATACACACAAGGACATCTGCATATCCATATATATTCATACGCACATATATATATTTACACATCCATACGTATACACATATACACATACATATACACACCCATATATGCATACATACATACATATACATACACACATATGCATATGCATACGCAATATGCAGAATATCTACATACCCACATATGCGTTAATTTGCACTTACATATATCTACCCACGTATTTGTCCCTATCCTCATGTCCACCCGTGCATCCACTTATGCCTGCGTTCGAAGACTATCTCAGTATTTAATTACATTATCTATATCTTTACACATATAATATTACCCGATCTTTCATATTTATGGCAAAACATATAAGTACCTATCTAATTGTACATCTCCACACTCACAAAAAAAAAAACAAAAAAAACTTGGTATGCTACTTTTTCCGTATAAAAACATATACATGTACATATTAACAGGTGTCTCAGTGTGCAAATACATTATCATAGTTGTATACATATAGTCATGTGTTAGCTTTCACGTGTGCATAGTAATATTTCTAAAAACAAAGGGAATATAAAACATTCAAAATTGCTGTTCCTATATGATTATTTCTTAGTGTACTTGCTTAGGTTTAGGTTGTTTTTGTGTCGGCATTTAAAAACTAGTTCATTGTATTTATTTAGTAGTATGTCTGGATCTTTATGTTTGATTATGAAGATTTTCTCCTTCAAACATAAGTTGCATCTGTCTCTGAAGTTTTGGGGAGTTCTGGCTCTTGATATTATTCTCCACTTTATTTGTGGTGTTAGGCCTCTCTCCAACAAAAACCAATAATGATTTGATAGTGCTGTTTGGTTCTTTTTACACTAATTTTTGAAGGATTGGCGATGGTTGTATAGTCGGTGTTTCCAATCTCCCGCTGATATTCCAATGTATATCTTTTTCTCTTCAACCTTTTCTTTGGGGAAAATTGTTGCTTCCTATATTGTGTTCTCTGCCATGCATATTCCTTCAACTGAGCACTCTGATCCTAAGAATTTGAATGAAACCTGTCGTGTAATTTATTGGGGTTGTTGTAACGTCTTCCTTTAATGTAGTTCTTATCGTTCACCCCTTAGCCACCTTTATCTAGAGACGAGACGCGTTAAATTTGAGCAACATCCAGCCGACACACTGGGGTTAAAATAGGAAACTAAAATGATACATATGACACACTCATATCCTCTCTCCCACCTCACTTCCTCACTTCGTTAACTTTGCGTATACTTGATGAGGTCCGTAAAAAACGTGTGAATTTCGTTTCATTTTTCATTTCAGCTTTTGGAAGTAAAGTCTGATGATCCAGAACCCTGTTAAAGGGGTTATGGTGAAATAGCTTATTACATGGAATCTTAACGTGGTCTGTTTTTTATTCAAACATATCTGCTCTGAATTTTACATTGAGCTCTCTGGATATCATCCTCCTCAGGTCTACCCATAAGGATTACCTAAATTTGCATAAACTATATATATAT